AAGACGACTAATCAAAGTAATAAAAGTTTGCAATGACTGAAAATCAAGCTCATTCACGGCCTTATAGTTATAACATTCTGTTTTAATACATAAGGATGAACCTTTGGGTTTCTAAATATATTTCATTCTGAAGTTTTGAATATTAATCAACTGGTCACGCAGTTACACGTGCAGTTGATCACCAAAATTAATCTCGAAGGCTTGTTTCTGCAATTCAAGGATCAATTTTCTATTTTGATGGTTGTTCTAATGAAGAAGTTTATGAAATTTTTATTTTCACGGCACCCAAATCTAGTACATTTCACATGATTTCTTAGTAATTGTTTGGGAGCTGTGTGGGGAGGTGAAATAGGTTTAAGAAATTATAGGAATGGAGACCGAGGAGGAAGCAGTGTCTTTTTACAAAAAACTAATAATATATATGTCTGTTCTTTTATTTGTAAATCTCATGACAGTGGAACTAGTGAGGTCATAAGCTACGAACTCACTTTCAAAGTTTGTTCATTTTAATTCGGTGTCACCTATCGTACCTTAATCTTCCTATTTGAATATTTCACTCAGACATACAATTAAAGCAATAGGTGAGTGATATTGTAAGATTTCCATGCCCTTGATGTTAGTTGGGTACATATATCCACCGTAATACCTGGAAATTCTTTTCAATCTGACGAACCAGGCTTTAGTAGAGCATGTATCTGGATCCGCACCTCTGAGTTAAAACCAAGGATCTTCGTTGGACCGAGTAGTTACTCAAGTAACCGAAGACATCGACTATCTAAATGTTCTCCCTCCGTTAGCTAACGACGATTATATCGTTTCTTCGTTCACATTTAGGACTTATAACATTGTGTGGAGAGAGAAGAGAATAATCTTTTAGACAAGGTCCAAGGAAAAACCTTTCTAGTTTGGCAAATTTCATTGCATGAGAGGATTTGATAGTGAAGAAAAATAATAATTTTCCGGTATGTGTAATTTTCATCGATCAAAGCAGAACATTTGAAAAGGCCCCTTACCTGGGCCTTAAGTTAAAACCGGGAAGTTTTAGAGCACAGTAGAAAATTACAAACTAGATAAATGACTTTCTCATTGAAAGGAGGCGAAAGATATGGGTAAACGGAGCCTTACAAATATGAGAATCCGTTAAAAATGAAGTCATCAGAAGTAAAATCCTTGGTCCTCTTCCTTGATGTTTCGTGTAAATGAAATAGCAACTACACGGACACTCTGAATATCACAGTTGGTGGTGATTGTACCATTTACATGAAGAGGGTATTCTTGTCGACCAGCTTCATTTCATTCATATCCACTAACATTTCGTAAGCGCTGAGAAACTCTGCTCCGAGAACGGATTGTTTGATCTGAGGTGTTACGTCCAAGTTTTTGCTCGTTCTCGTCATTGAATTACGGTATATCGATCTATTCGCAACTTACGAACCCAAATTAACAATAGGACCAAACTTTAACTTAGGTACTAAAGTATATTCGCAATTTACAAATAGTCGACCCAAATGTCGTTCTTCAATTCTGAAGGTTCCCGGAGCAAGAACTTCCAAATACCAAACCAAAGACAAAGAGAAACCCAAATGTCCTAAAATAATGATATAAATAAACAAATTCAGAAGTTGAGTAAAACAAATACATCGAAAAACACTGTGAAATCAAGAATATTTAATATAAAGGTTATAATCAGCCAAATTTCTCCAACTCTCCCGTAACACTGGGCTCACTAGATAAATGTGATGGACCGAAATTTATGTTAATTCGAAAATGACACTAAAGTTGTTAGGTCCAAAAGTAAAAGTTGTGATATATCAATTATAATTTATAACCACAAACAAAAGTTATGGGGTGTTGCTTTAATCGGGAAGCTTTGGCGTGTTCAAGCTGCATTTGGTACCATAATCCACAATTATAGGTAATTAGTAATTCCAATGAGGTTGTTGTGACTCCAGTGATCTAGCCAGATGTAGTACATAATGGAAATTGAGCTGTAGTCTATAAATGTAGATAGTAGATATTTTAGAGCTCATGTATCATGGCCACAGACAATTGGGAACCAGAGACGCGTGTGTAGCAGTGTATTTACGAGCGGTTAGCAGAGTGCGTCATTCCATGAGGAGTTCAAAACGGAAACGGAAGAATTCAGGGTCATGCAACTTTAAACAACTTTTACGAACAGTTGTGGTTCATGTAAAAGCTATGAGAATTAACAAAATAAATGCAAACAATGTCGAAATCGACTTACAAAATAAGTTTGTCGTGCCTATCTCCACAAAAGTACTGTGACAATCTATATAATTATACAATAAGTAAGACGGTACTGCACAAAGCAATGGATTATAAAGGTGTAGCGTGGCGTCGAGTTGAGGTTGACTATGAACACCGCTACAAAGAAACACGAGTCAAGCGAATCAGAAGGCGAGGGTTGGACGTAACCAAATAGATCCATAAAATCCCCGAGAAGCCAAATATCAGAAGACAGTTAATGGAACAAGTCGAGGTTTATTTGCTGGCGATCTCGTGGCATCGAAAGGATACCGAGATCGTGCCAGGATACAACGTTGGTTACAGAAGGTAACCGAATTCGCGCGAAGTTACAATCGAAGTGTAAGTAAAAGAATGGAAGCACAAAATAGCTGTCATTAGCACAGTCAAACAAAAGCACGTTAAAACAAACACTGGTACAGTTGGTTATAATAATAATTTCACAGATTGAAATCATGAGTCAGTTGAAGCTAGACCACCATTGAAAACCTGGAAGCACTGGACGGCCGTTTCGTCCTAGTGTGGGACTCCTCAGCAGTGCGCATCCACGATCCCGCACCACGCGGGGCTCGAACCCAGGACCTACTGGCTTCGCGCGCGAGCACTTAACCATTAGACCACTGAGCCGGCATCCAACGGTGTTAATGTCTAACTTCAACCAATCCACGAAGTTGCGCCACCGTACACCATTGTCTTCAGTGAGTTACTATCTCACAACAGACCTGGTTGAACTCCACTGGTAACGGCTTCTCACTAGAACTTCGGGAGTTTTTCCTGAAGTCAGTCACTAGTGAGCAGTTGATTATTATTATCGGAATGGGTTTTGTGGAGATTTTAGAAATTTCACAGATTGAAATCATGAGTCAGTTGAAGCTAGACCACCATTGAAAACGTGGAAGCACTGGACGGCCGTTTCGTCCTAGTATGGGACTCCTCAGCAGTGCGCATCCACGATCCCGCACCACGCGGGGCTCGAACCCAGGACCTACTAGCTTCAACTGACTCATGATTTCAATCTGTGAAATTTCTAAAATCTCCACAAAACCCATTCTGATAATAATAATCAACTGCTCACTAGTGACTGACTTCAGGAAAAACTCCCGAAGTTCTAGTGAGAAGCCGTTACCAGTGGAGTTCAACCAGGTCTGTTGTGAGATAGTAACTCACTGAAGACAATGGTGTACGGTGGCGCAACTTCGTGGATTGGTTGAAGTTAGACGTTAACACCGTTGGATGCCGGCTCAGTGGTCTAATGGTTAAGTGCTCGCGCGCGAAGCCAGTAGGTCCTGGGTTCGAGCCCCGCGTGGTGCGGGATCGTGGATGCGCACTGCTGAGGAGTCCCACACTAGGACGAAACGGCCGTCCAGTGCTTCCACGTTTTCAATGGTGGTCTAGCTTCAACTGACTCATGATTTCAATCTGTGAAATTTCTAAAATCTCCACAAAACCCATTCCGATAATAATAATAATTGTTTTTATTAAACCAGTCGTGTTCTCGTGATAAACGTGAGTCACTACAAAGGTTTGGGAGTCATAGTAACTAACAACCTAAGAACTACAAGTAATTGTAAATCTGTCGCTAACAAATGCCTTAGGATCCTATAGGCTATTTGTGAGTCATTACGTCGCTTGGACGCAGTGATGTCTAAGCTACTATGCACGACGTCTGTGAGGCCGGATTCAGAATACGGGTTTCAAGCGGCAACTCTCTGTTTCAGTCATGGAGCGGATGTGCTGGAACAAGGGTGAATAACCTTACTAACCTGTCCTGTAAAGACAGACCAAGAGGACTTAACCTGTTTTCGTCATTCTGCCTCAGGTACGGGGTGATTTGACATTAAAAACCGTATATTGAGCGATGACTTTGGCATTATTATGTCTTGTCGTTTCCCTCCGTCTAGGACTAATCGTTTGAGGAGACATTCTATCAGTGTTCTGAAACCGAAAACAAATCGTCTATCTCTGGCGTTTCATTTCTAACATAGAATAGTGTTACGAGAGTTCTCTAACACGTAATATCAGCACCTTCTGTTGTTACGTCCAAAGCGAGATCGGATCGATGTTCGCAGTGATGCGTACTGCAGTGTTTAATATAAGTCGAGAGATCTGTCAAAACTATTGAAGACTGAAGAATATGTAACTCCTTCTAACTAAGAACTACTTGCAAACCCTGACAATTCAATATCGAAAAAACACAAAATTCACCTATTCGAACCCAAGGTGGCTTAAGTTTTAATTAACGCTCAATTCCGGAACTCCGGGGTTTATCATACAAAGAGCGGCTTGAAAAACTGGACCTCTTTACTCTGTCCTATCGCAGACTAAGGGGAGATCTAATTTTGATGTACAGAATACTGAGAAATGATTTCGGACCTAACTTATTCTCTCTCTTTCTTCCCACTAGATCGGGACACCCCAGAGGACATAGCAGGCGAGTAGAAAAGCCAAGAACGAACAAAATACCCGTGACATACAGGTTTTCACACCGAGTCGTCAATACTTGGAACCTGCTGCCTGAAGCAGTGGTGTCCGCACCTTCAATTGACTCTTTCAAGAGGAGACTGGACACTCACAGAAGCATACTAGAAAAGGAATAACATAGGCCGTAGGCCTTCTGTCCTTACTACACAAATCTGAATCTGAATAATCAATCGTAGTTGAAAATCTTAGTTCGAACTTCGACCTCTGACAAGGTCAGTGGGTCCGTTCCATTGGATCGTCTTATGTAGTCTGGTATGATTTCTCTCTCTGTTTTGTTAGCACTTTTCATTGGTGGAAAAGATGACCTGCTTTATTACAATGAACACTTCGAAGGCGAATTGAGTGATGCACCCTTAGGACGTCTAATTCCTACGTTGGTGACGTTTTATAACCAATATTCAAGCGAGCCCTACAGATATGTGGCATTTGACGCTAACCAGACATTACAAACTGTATCCTCGAATTTAAATATCTCATTTTTCTCACAGAATATAAGGGGTTATAGATATCGTTTCTCTGTTTTGTTGGCCCCCACTATTTGCCCCAAATACCAAGCGGAATATATATCTATTGCGCACTTGGGACCTTGCTCGTTGAAAGCATATGGAGTATGTTGAACTTGAATAAGTGCTCTAATACGTTTAGTATCAACAATGCAATTTCGTTTTAAGCTTTCGAAAGGGTCTACTGTATGATGATAGCACGTTGTACCTTGAAGGTTGTCGATCTGCTGTCCCGAGAATGCCTGTAAACCTCGAGGTAATTACTTGTTAAATTCATGTTTTCTGAGGTTTGGTTTTATATCTCAGTATTCATAGCATGCCAGAAATACATCTGAAAGTCCCTAGCAATATAATCTTTTGAAACTGCTTTATTCACGATAAGCAAACTTATCATTAGCGTAGTAACTCGTTGTAGGTGGTATGTTTATGTAATTTGCGTTTCTGAGCGACAGTAAGACAAGTGATATCAATAGTTTGCCGCGAAAAAACCAGACTATCTAAATCAAGTTGTATATTCCACGTGGGGTTTATATGAAAGAAACCAGCATATGTGGGTTACGAATTTTATATTGAATCAAGCTTTTATGCTACACATCAGCGCCAAACTTTTTATAAACCGGAAGGTTTACTAACTTTTGCTAATGTGTGTCGAAAGTGTAATAATTAGAAAAAGCATCTTTTGTGTAACGATAATCAGAGATAGAGGATTACTTACTTACTTACGCCTGTTACTCCTCGTGAAGGAGCATAGGCCGCTCACCAGCGTTCTCCATCCAACCCTGTCCTGGGCAATCCTTTCTAGGTCCGTCCAGTTGTAATTCGTCGTTTTCATATCTGCTTCTATTATCCGACGCAATGTGTTCTTTGGCCTTCCTCTTTTTCGCTTCCCCTCAGGATTCCAAGTTAGGGCTTGCCTCGTGATGCAGTTTGACGATTTGCGTAATGTATGTCCTATCCATTTCCATCGTCTTTTCCTAATTTCTTCTTCAGCTGGAAGTTGGTTTGTTCTTTCCCACAGAAGGCTGTTGCTGATGGTATCCGGCCAATGGATGTTGAGTATCTTGCGAAGACAGCTATTTATAAATACTTGTACTTTCTTGATTGTGGTTGTTGTAGTTCTCCAAGTTTCAGCTCCATACAGTAGAACTGCCTTGACGTTCGTATTGAAGATTCTCACTTTGATATTGGTTGAAAGTTGTTTTGAGTTCCATATGTTCTTCAATTGTAGGAATGCGACCCTTGCTTTGCCGATCCTCGCCTTTACGTCTGCATCTGAGCCTCCTTGTTCATCGATGATGCTTCCCAGATATGTGAAGGACTCTACATCTTCCAGAGTTTCGCCATCAAGAGTGATTGGATTGCTGTTCTCCGCTTTGAATTTGAGGACCTTAGTTTTCCCTTTGTGTATGCTGAGGCCTACTGATGCAGAGACTGCTGCTACACTGGCTGTCTTCATCTGCATCTGTTCGTGTGTACGTGATAGGAGGGCTAGGTCATCTGCGAAGTCCAAATCGTCTAATTGATTCTGAGCTGTCCATTGTATTCCGTGTTTTCCTTCAGATGTTGAGGTCTTCATAATCCAGTCGACCACCATAAGAAAAAGGAAGGGAGAGAGTAAACAGCCTTGTCTGACTCCGGTCCTTACTTGGAATGCATCTGTCAGCTGTCCTCCATGCACTACTTTGCACTGTAGTCCGTCGTATGAGTTTCGGATTATATTGACAATCTTCTCAGGAATTCCGTAGTGTCGAAGAAGTTTCCATAACGTCCTCCTGTCTACACTGTCGAATGCCTTTTCATAATCAATGAAGTTGATGTATAATGATGAGTTCCACTCAACTGATTGTTCGACGATGATCCGTAGTGTTGCAATTTGGTCTGTGCACGACCGATCCTTACGGAATCCAGCTTGTTGATCTCGAAGTTGGGCGTCTACTGCATCCTTCATCCGGTTCAGCAACACTCTGTTGAAGACTTTCCCTGGTATTGACAGTAGTGTAATGCCTCTGTAGTTCTCACATTTGCTCAGATCTCCTTTCTTTGGAATCTTGACGAGGTGTCCTTCTTTCCAGTCCATCGGCACTTGTTCCTCTTCCCAAATCTTTTTGAATAGAAGATAAAGCATGCTTGTGGTTGTTTCGATGTCTGATTTCAGTGCTTCAGCTGGTATGTTGTCGGGTCCTGCTGCTTTCCCGTTCTTGATTTGTCTGACGGCCATTCTAATTTCTTCCGTAGTCGGTGGATTGACATCTATAGGAAGATCTATGTGTGCTGCTTCGATGTCCGGTGGATTCATTGGAGCCGGCCTATTCAGGAGTTCCTTGAAGTATTCTACCCATCTGTTACGTTGTTGTTGAATTTCGGTGATTGGCTTGCCTTCTTTGTCTTTGACCGGCCTCTCTGGTTTACTGTATTTCCCTGATAGTTTCTTCGTTGTATCGTAAAGCTGTTTCATGTTTCCTTCTCTAGCAGCTTTTTCTGCCGTCGTTGCTAGTTCTTCAACGTATTTCTTCTTGTCGGCTCTAATGCTCCTCTTCACTTGTTTGTTTGCTTCTATGTATTCAGCTTGTGCTTGTACTTTCTCTGCTCGTGTTCGGCTGTTGTTAATTGCTGTCTTCTTGTTCTTCCTTTCTTTGATCTTGTCCAGTGTTTGTATAGAGATCCATTCCTTATGATGGTGCTTCTGGAGGCCCAGAACCTCTTGACACGTTGAAGTCAATGCTTCTTTGATGCCTTTCCAGTTGTCCTCCATAATAGTTTCTTCTTCCTTCAGTAGATCTTGTAAGGCTTGGAACCTGTTGTTGAAAGCTGTCTTGAATTCATTGAGTTTGTCAGGATCTCGAAAAAAGGCTGTATAGAACCTTTGTATTGCTGTTTGTCCACTTGTCCAGTTCTTTTTTAGCTTCAGTTTCAAATTGGCTACAACTAGGTGGTGGTCTGAAGCTACGTCAGCACCTCTCCTGGTTCTCACATCTTCCATTGTCCTTCGGAATTTTTTGTTGATGCAAATATGATCTATTTGGTTCTCTGTAGTGTGGTCCGGTGAGATCCATGTAGCCTTGTGTATACGCTTGTGTGGAAATATTGTGCCTCCTATGACCAATTTGTTGAATGCACATAGATTTCCAAATCTTTCCCCATTTTCGTTTCTTTCTCCCAGTTCATGTCGTCCCATAATATCTTCATACCCGACGTTGTCTATTCCGACTTTGGCATTTAGATCTCCCATCAGAATGGTGAGGTCGTTTCTTGGGCATTTCTCTATCACTGACTGCAGCCGCTCGTAGAATTGATCTTTAATGTCGTCGTTGCTATCATTGGTGGGTGCATAACATTGGATAATATTCATTAAGATCCCCTCCTTCTTTGTTTTGAATGATGCTTTGATGATTCTGGATCCGTGAGATTCCCATCCTACAAATGCATTTCGTGCTACTTTGGACAGCATAAGAGCGACTCCCTGAGTGTGTGGAGCATTGTCCTCTTCGTGACCGGAGTATAGCAGCATCTCTCCCGTAGCTAGCCTTTTCTGTCCAGCTTGGGTCCAATGGGTTTCGCTGACTCCCAGTACTGCCAAGTTGTATCTCCTCATTTCCATTGATATTTGACTGGTCTTCCCGGTTTCCCACATTGTTCGAACGTTCCATGTACCTATAAAAATTTTTGCTCTGGTTGTTAGAAGGGGCATCGGCCTCGTGGCTTCCGAAGGAACTCGGCTTTCACCATGAAGCGTCATAATTCTTTTAAATGAAGATCTTCTAACTCCCAGGGCAGAGTTAAAATGGTTTGGATTATTTTTTCTGGTAAGCGCTTTTTTAGCGAGTTAGTTTTCTACGGGATGGGGACGCTAACCCCATGCCCAACCCTCCTCCTTTACCCGGGCTTGGGACCGGCAGCAACCCTATAGAGATAGAGGATTGGGTAAGACTAATTTATAGACGAGCCAATCAGAAGCGACTACAACAGGTGGGACTATTAAGAAGTTCCTGTATCTGTGATTGGCAATCAATTGACTGCAGCACGATGTGCAGACTACCGTGATGACATTAGATTTCGTTGTACTATATGTTAGAAGATAAAATCTGCTCGAGCTGGCACTTCGCTCGATCACGACTCAGACTAAGGCAAATCATGATAATTGTTGCAAATTGGATTATGAAGTCACCAGTAACATTGGCTGCGGCTTTCGCAGATATGCACCCTAACCCTAAACCCTAACCGCATGCACTATGATTTCAGGACATCTGAACCTTTATCTAACCTTAACAAGTTTTTAAATCATGTAAAAGAAGAATATCCGCTGTAATTCATAAGCTTTTTATAATGTTTTCACTTTATACTAACTCTCTTCTGATTGGCTAATAGTTTCGAGGTCACTTAAAAATTCGTTTAAAGGTCGTCCATAAAATATAGTCCTACAGAGGATTGACTGTATGTCTCATGCTGATAAAATTTTTAATTGCTTAACGAATATTAAATATTTCTCCCGTAAACCACCCTTTTCCAAGTAGTTAGATGGTATTGTATCTACTCATAGAAAGTACCTCGTATGATCTAGATAACATACATACCAAGAAAATTCAGATAAATATTGGGACAGGAACATAGTAGTTAAACAACTTTAAATTTAACCACTAGGTTGTTTGTTCACTTACTTTCCTGTCATTGGTTTAGATACCTTCGAAGTCTTACTAGTCCTCATAAAACTTCTGGCTTAACGCCAAGCATATAAACATGTCAACAACGTATTCAGTGAACTTCGTTTACTTTGCGTCATCAACTTTTCATTTCACTGAATAGAATGTATTTGTATCAAATTTTGTCACTTAGTAGTATTGTCGACATCAACACACCAACATATATTTCGACGGCTTTTTATTCTTATAAAATTACTTTATGGTAGACAATATAATTATGAAATATCTAATAGTTGGATTCATGTGTCAATTAAAGCTGGACCACCATGGAGAACCTGGAAGTACTGGACGGTCGTTTTGTCCTAGTATGAGTCTCCTCGGCAGTGTGCATAATAGAATTGTTTTTATTCTGCAGATAATTCATGGTAATTACACCTTATCAAACATATAGAGGTGATCTGTTCCTCGGATTTTTCATAATTTCAGATAATTCAGCCAAATGAATTAAACGCACTATCAGTCACACCATTTCAAATATCAGATATATGTTTTATAGGTCGACAAGGCTGCTTACTCTCTCTGCCTTTCTATTTCCTCTGATGGTCGACCGGATTATGAAGACCTCAGCATCTGACGGGAAGCAGAGAATAAAATAGACAGCTTGCATGCAACTAGACGATTTGGACTTCACAGATGACCTGGCTCTTTTATCCCATACACACAAACAAATGCAAATTAAGACAACTGGTGTAGCATCAGCCTCCGCATCAGTAGGCCTAAACATACACAATGGAAAAAGCAAGGTTCTCAAATACAACACGGAGAACACAAACCAATTCACACTTGATGGAGAAGCTCTAGAAGATGTGGAATCTTCCACGTACCTGAATAGCAACATCGATGAACGTGTACAGTCCGATGCAGACGTAAAGGCAAGGATTGGCAAAGTAAGGACAGCACTCCTACAGTTGAAGAATATATAAAACTCAAAACAACTGTCAATTAATACCAAAGTGAGAATCTTCAATACGAACGTCAAGACAGTTCTTCTGTACGGAGCTGAAACTTCGAAAAATACCCAACCATCGCCACAATAATGCAAGTATTCATAAACGGTTGTCTACTCAAGATATTGAATATCTGTTGACTGAATATCACCAGTAACAGCCTACTGTGAGAGAGAACAAACCAGCTTCCATCTGAAGAGGAAATTAGGAAAAGACGCTGAAAGTGGATATGACATACATTACGGAAATCAGCAATCTGCATCACGAGGCAAGCGCTAACTTGGTATTCTGAAGGTAAACGTAAAAGGGGCAGGCCAACGAACACATTGCGTTGGGAATCGGAAGCAAGCATCTGAAGGACGAATAGCGATTGCAAACAACTAGAAAGGATTGACTAGGACAGAGTTGGATGGAGAATGTTTGTGGACGACCTATGCTCCTCCACGAGGGGTAACAGGGGTAGGTAAGTATTTGAGTAGGTACGTTCGATTACGTCTATTTTGTCTAGCGTTAGACAGTCTATGTTTAAGGACCGATTCCAGGGACGGATCCACAGGAGTTAAATAAACCGTCTTACTTCTGAGCCATGAGAGTGCCTTAATTAAATGCATTCAGTGTGAGCGGCATACCAAAACATCAATCACGTAGTCATTGGTTATTAGTATCAAGAGTTTAGCAAGCGGTTAATTTTCTCTAGCCAAACTGGTAAAAAATGGAGAAGGAATGTCGATTACATCACAATGTTCCTTGTTTTTCTGTTGGTTAGTACTTCGACGGATAAAAACCTTATTTCTTTTTTACTTTTATGCTTTATTTTTCAGTACTTAGGCTTTAATTTGCCTACAAACGTGGAGGAGAAATATGCACAATTTAAGTTAACATATAGAAAACAGTATCATGAGTCAGGTAATTTCATATAAAATTTGGAAATTAATACCTTTCTGCTTAGAAGACGAGATTAGGTTTAATATCTTCAAATCGAATATCTTGAAAGCTCAATTGTATCAGGTATTTGAAAGAGGTTCAGCCATTTATGGAGTGACACCTTATTCAGACTTAACAAGTTAGTATACATTTCCTAGTAATCGTAATTATCATTAGCTGATGAATTCGCACGCACTCATCTAACTGCTTCCTGGGTAGTGTCGTCTAGTACAAATAATACACCAATTTCTCTGGAAAAGGAGGTTAAGAATATACCAAAAAACTTCGATTGGAGAGAAAAAGGCGCTGTAACTGAAGTAAAAAATCAAGGAATATGTGGCTCTTGTTGGGCGTTCTCAACCACTGGTAATATTGAGAGTCAGTGGTTCCGCAAAACTGGAAAGTTATTATCATTAAGTGAGCAGGTCAGTCTATTTCCTATTCATCAATGTGTACATTCAGAAATTTAAATTAGATAATGTTTCATATTATATTCTAATCTCTCCCTACCTACTTTGGCTTGGGCAACCGACTAGGATCATCATTCATCACGCAAACAGTACGAACCAGTCGCAAACATAGAGTTGTATTCAGTAATTAAGTTGTGTCGAATTTCTCGAAATGGAGAGAAATATCATTCAGCAAAAAACACTTTGTTACTGTTTGCCGTATCAAATAAACGTATTTACAGAAGGTTATACTAAAATTCTCAAGGAAGACATAAGCAGTAGTTTTAAACGTATCGTAATATTGAGTTTACAAATTCATGTAAGTGAAACGTGTACCAGTGTTTTGGATTCAGTAAAAGAAAGGTAGAAATGAAAATGTTGATTAAAACCTATATATATAGGTTGTTTTGTGCATAACTCTCTTCGTATAGACTTTCTTGAAGGTGGGTTGATTTGTAGCTCAAGTAACCTTATTGTTACAATACTGTGTACGTGTTTCATTATGGTTTGACCAGTTATAAAGTGTGTTAAAAAAGCACAGCAACGCTACATTCTATTTTGTATATAGTTCAAGTGTTTAGGTTATGAATTTTCCAGCCACTACCTCATTGAGTGAAATTGTCCGATAAACCTATCTTGTAAGGTACTACCACTTCTAGTATTCTCCATGTTTAACCTTTTAAATAAACCTACAATTCGTGTCGTTCACTTAATCTTGGTATGTTTAGTTTAAAGCTATGGGAACAACATGAACCTAAAAGTAAGATCTAGATATTTAAGTTCGAAATTCACCTCTGAACATTGTATATATGTTTTGATAGTTTGAACATAAGGCTCCTGTAAGCAGTAAATTGGAAAATAATGTGTATACGGATAAAAATATCCTACTTACATCGTGATTTTTGCGACTTAGCAGTATCACCAATGCTCATATAATAATTGTAGTTGATAGTCTAGTACGCATCCTTGCATATGGATAATCAGTGACCTACGAAATCCTCGTGTTGACGGATAAATTAATTGGTACTGAAAATGTTCAGCATACCGTCGTCAATAAGAATAATGATATTGGATCAAATACGATTCAATTAAAGAGTGTATTCATATTTTCTGACTATAATTGTACTTCTTACAACTAGCTTCTAGTTAATTGTAATATTTTATTCTCAATAATTCATGCTAATGACAGCAACTTGTTGACTGTGACGGTCTAGATGATGGTTGTAATGGTGGTCTTCCATCGAATGCCTATGAATCAATCATAAAAATGGGTGGTTTAATGCTTGAAGATAATTATCCTTATGATGCTAAAAATGAGAAATGTCATTTGAAAGCTGATAATGTTGCAGCTTACATTAATAGTTCAGTAAATTTAACTCAAGATGAAACAGAACTTGCTGCATGGCTTTATCATAATTCAGCGATTAGTGTTGGTATGAATGCGATGCTTTTACAGGTATAGTCCTCAAATTATATTTTGGTTTTCTTTATATATACACCATATTTTCTACTATATTGTTCTTTCAAACATAATTCATCAACAGATTTGGAAATAGAATTTATTAGTGTACAAAAAATGTTAAATTTTTTTTTAGCCGTTAGTTGTACTTGGTTAAGTAATGAAGTTGTTATGAGTTGTTGATCATAACTTTGTTATTATGTATAACTCATCAAGTTGTGCTAGTAATTTTGAATAACCTCAATAATTCAGTTCCTTGAAAGTAAGCTCAGACACTGGTTTTATTAATCCACGCAACCCTACTTTACAGCTTTATGAATATATATAGTCAAATGCTAGTCACGGCTTATTCACAACCGTTTTATGTTGTGTGGATAGTGACGCTCATCAATACGATATCGACAATATTTTCAAGAGTTGAATAAGGGTTCCGAAATTGCTGTAAGAATAAATCATCAGTACGAAGTTACGGTGTTTATGAACAGTTGTCTACGTAAAGTACTTCGGATCCGTTGGCCGGACACTATTAGCAACCACCAACTGTGGGAAAGAACAAACCAGATCCCAACGGAGGAAGAAATTAGGGAGAAACGCTGAAAGTGGATAGGACACATTGAGAAAAGCACCCAACTGCGTCACAAGACAAGCCCTCACATGGAATCCTTAAGGCTAAAGGAAAAGAGGAAGACCAAAGAACACATTACGCCGAGAAATGGAGATAGACATGAGAAAAATGAACAAGAATTGGATGGAATTACAAAAGAAGACCCAGGGCAGAGAGGGTTGGAGAATGCTGGTCGGCGTCCTATGCTCCATTAGGAGTAACAGGCGTAAGTAAGTAACGAAGTTACGGTGTTATGAAACTTCGGGTTTCACCAAATCTTGACTGATTCTAAACAGTGTAGACTAGTATGATGTGTTCTTACTTTTACTTAGGATATTTTCGTTAAGAACCAGCATCCTATACAATAAGAAATATTTATACTATAAATCGTATCCGAATGAGAAATAAATTTCACACCCACAGCCACTTTTGACTTGATCGTGTATAATCCTTATTTTTCATTTTATTGTGTGGCGCGACCTGCTGTGCTTGTATATAGACGACGTATGTCTGAAATATACGGTTCATATAGCGGAGGCTGATATTTGCGTCCTGGACTGAACGGAGAGGGATAGGCGAAAAGCTACTATACGGAGGACCGATAAGTACTCAGGGTTCACTCAAGGCTGCTAATGCTGGTTGATTTTGTTATGACGAGATGAAAAGTCTAATTAGATTGATTACTCATTATGATTTCTATTCAATATTAATTCCGTTTAATTCAATTTGATGATCACTTGGTATAGTATTTGTTTCGTTCCCCCCTATGACATTTTATTCTGTATAATATATGATATTCTTGTATGAAGTATTTTTCATATATGTGATTTATTCTGATTATTAGTCAAAAATGGGTGTACAAACCAATATATAAAGAGTGTATTTCGAACTAGACTGGTCATGGTTGCTCGTGCTTCTGGCTGCTTGCGGAATGTATTTCCCCGTTTCAAATATGAACTTCTGTCTCCGGTTAGCAGAGCTGGGACGCATCAGAATAGCTAGCTTATTGGTCTTCGGTCACAGAGTCCTTGTTCAGTTCACAGACTAGATGAATTCGTAATCGCTTCAAACATAACATTGTCATTGACTTAGCGCAGGGACAAGGACAGTATTCCGATCAGCGATTTCGTCACGTGGTATTTGACGGGCCATAGAACATGAGAGAAATCAATAGTACGGGCAGACATTTTCCCGATACATATTTTGATTCACACTGCTAAATGGTTTGTATAACATGAATAATATAATTACATCCCGACCGTTGTTGCTACCTTGACGTAGTGGTCGGGCTTGCCTATTGTGATGAAGCAACCGAGCTATATACACGTAGGGCGTTCTCAATTTCCTTTAATTTATTAGGTACTTTCTGTGACTGTGTATATAAACTAAAGTCCAGTTAGTGTAAATTAGAGCATAGGTTGATTACTTCAACTCTATACATATTTATCCCGACCGTTGTTGCTACCTTGACGTGGTGGTCGGGCTTGCCTATCGTGATGAAGCAACCGAGCTATACTGGCTGGAACAACTGTTCCTCAAGGTCCTACCACGTCAGAAAGGTCGGTTGAAGAGCGGTAAGACTAAAAGCAACAAACCCAAGGTCTGAAGGCGAAGTCGTACTGCTGACTGTACAGAGGTGTGACAGCAGTAAGATGTTTCCTTCAGACAACCAGCATGACAGCGATGCTGCCTTCCCACAAGGAGGGGTGGGGTTAGAAAAGGTCGACCCTAACAATTCACATCTCGCCTTATCCCACGGATATCCGTCTCCGGCGGTAAGGTCTCAACAAGTACGGAGCTAACACAAAAATTGTTCATAAAAAGGTCGTGTGTGACCGATCTCAAGCAGTTGTCCCTTGGACACAACGGTCACGCTATTAATCCACTGTTAATCCAATTTCCTTTTCAGGTACCTCCAGAAGAACCCTTCCACGGTGTGGACAACCGGGAAGTGATAACCGCCCTCATACCTCTAACAGCACTCAAGACCACTGTATTCATAATCAACCTCCCTCTTCAATTCCTATTATTCCTCCTACATCAACTTCAAACTCTAAACTTCTTTTTTCGGCTTCCCCCTCAAGTGTCACCATAGCCAACAATTCTAGTGCTCAAAACACTGTCCCAGGTCTACTGAAACCTTGCTCCAAACTACACATTGGAGCCTTCAATGTACGCACCCTATGTCAAATCGGTTAGCAGGCTTCCTTGGCTAGAACCCTAGAATCTCGTACCATTGATGTATGCTGTGTTTCCGAAACACGCATACAGGATCCCAGTGTGGTCATTCACTTGACCTCACCTCGGCAAAACGGAGAGCCAATGAGATACACCCTCCATGTATCTGGGGACCCGATGGCCAGTTCTCGTGGACTGGCAGGTGTAGGCATAGCACTAAGCATGAGGGCGGAACAAGCACTGTTAGAGTGGACCCCCGTCAACAGTCGTCTATGTGCTGTTCGGCTAAACGGCTCCGTAAAAACTCGGAAGGATAGGGACACACGTCGTTGCCTTTTCATCGTTTCTGCCTACGCTCTTACTGACTGCAGCTCAGATGATGTGAAAGATGAATTTTACAGAAAGCTATCTGAACTTCTTCAGAAAGCTAAACGTTCAGACATAGTACTCGTAGCAGGTGACTTTAATGCCCAGATAGGTAGTTTAAACCAAACAGAAAGGCATTTAGGTGGGTATTTTAGTATACCGGCACAACGAACAGATAATGGTGATCGTCTGCTGCAACTATGCTCAGACAATCGTTTATTTTTAGCAAACACAAATTCTAAGCATAAGGAAAGACATCGTCTAACATGGCGACCCCCTACACCAAACCAACGATGGACTCAAATAGACCATATTGCCATCAGTCATCGTTGGAGAGGGTCGGTAGAAGATTGTCGCTCATTCTGGAGTACCTGCTTGGACTCCGACCACGCCCTAATACGGGCACGCATCTGCTCGCGCCTCACTGGGTGCAAAAAAGCCACATTAAAAAGACCAATTAGAACTGAGTTGAGTAACGAGAAAACCAAAAGTAGGTTCCAGGAACAACTGAGGTCACACTTAGGTAGTTCTGAAAACGAGGCTGACCCAGATGCTGCTTGGAAAGATATACAAACAGCTGTGGAAACAGCAATGAAATCTATTAGTGACTTAAACCAAAGAGTTACAACGAACCAGTGGATTTCTTCAAAGTCTATCACACTGATGGATTCTCGCAAACTCGTTCCATCAGGTTCCGAACATGATGAAGAGCGACAACAAATCAGATCTAGGTTAAGAAAAAGTCTAAGAAACGACCGTGAGCAGTGGTGGGCAACGAAAGCAAAAGAGATGGAAAAGGCGGCGACTATAGGGAACACAAGACAGCTTTATAGACTAATAAAAGAAACTGGAATTAATAAGTCAAGTGTAAGTGAGATTATTTCGGAAAAAACGATACTCTCATCTACTCCCAGTCCAGACGTTTAGAACGATGGGCGGAACACTTTAGGGAGCAGTTCAGCTGGCCTTCAGCGACTCTACAACTGCCCTCCATTCCCAGACAGTGTGAATGGAACATTGAAGTAGGTCCCCCAACTCTATCAGAAGTTCAAAAGGCTATAGTTAATCTGAAACGAGGAAGGGCAGCTGGTCCAGATGGATTGTCTCCAGAAGTCTTTAAAGATGGTGGTCCAATTTTAGCGATTAGGTTAACTAATATTTTAGCTAAGATCTGGGAGTTAGACGTTATTCCATCTGACTGGTCGCAATCACTTATCGTCTCAATATATAAGAAAGGGTCAAAATCATCTTGTGACAACCACAGAGGGATTAGTTTAACTAATATAGTATCTAAAATACTAGCCTCGATAATTATCAGACGCCTAACTAAGACTCGTGAACTGCAAACTCGAGAGAACCAAGCTGGCTTCAGACCTGGTCGTGGCTGCATCGACCACATATCCACCATTCGTCAGGTTCTAGAACACAGGCATACTTATCGACGTCCGACAATGGTGGTCTTTCTTGACTTAAAAGCAGCATTTGACTCGGTAGACCGCGAGATTCTGTGGCAGTGTCTGTCATTAAAAGGCGTACCCCAGAAGCACATAAACCTTGTAAAGGCTCTTTACTCGAACACTACTAGTCGAGTCAGAGCTTATGGCGAACTGTCATCTACTTTTGCAACCTCAGGTGGTGCCCGTCAAGGCTGTCCACTTTCTCCATTTCTGTTTAACTTCATCATAGACCTACTGATGTAAATAACATTCTCGTCGACTGAATTCTCGGGCATTGATCTCCTTCCAGGAGGTCCACTTATCGACTTAGAATACGCAGATGATATAGTCCTATTTGGTGAAGACGCTGACAAAATGCAGAGTCTTTTGGTAGCACTAAGCAACAATGCCAGAATGTTTGGAATGCGCTTCTCTCCCTCTAAATGTAAGTTGTTGCTTCAGGACTGGTCTGCGTCAACACCTGAACTAAGGATAGGGAGTGAAGTAGTCGAACGCGTCGACAACTTCACTTATCTTGGAAGTCTGATCAGCCCTAATGGGCTGGTATCAGACGAAATCTCAGCATGGATTCGAAAAGCTCGTTTGGCTTTTGCCAACTTACGTCACCTTTGGCGAAGGCGAGATATCCGTTTATCAATAAAAGGACGAGTATACTGTACCGCAGTCCGTTCTGTTCTAATTTACGGCAGCGAAACATGGCCTTTAAGAGTAGAAGACACCCGTAAGCTACTAGTATTTGACCACAGATGCCTTAGAAATATTGCTGGCGTCTGTTGGGATCACCGGGTAAGTAATGGTGAGGTTAGACGCAGGGTATTAGGGAATGATGGTAAATCAGTTGATGAGGTTGCTAATCTTCATCGACTGAGATGGTTGGGCCACGTGTTACGTATGCCTGAACACTGATTACCACGACGTGCAATGCTAACGGGTGTTAGAGGTGGTTGGAAGAGAATTAGGGGCGGCCAAACCAAAACGTGGCATCAGTGCTTGAAGTCACTAACCTCTAGTCTGAGCCATGTTGGTAGATGCAGACTACTTGGTTGAAGTCAGAACGAATATCGTAACCGATGGTTGGAGACTCTTGGTGACATGGCTCAGAATCGATCACAATGGCGTCGGTGTATACACTCCCTGTCTTCCCTTAAACTAAGAGATTAAAATCGCTTCATATCTTTCTTTCTACTAACTAATTCTTTCTTTCTGTACTGTATCGTTATATGCAATCTTTCTCCTATATATTACCACCTTTTACCTAACCACTCCTGTGAATCCGGTGTTCATCTTGCTGTGCTAATGAGGTATGGCAACCTGGACCGATGCATATATGTGCCTGGTCCTACGTTGTAGCTGACTGACTGACTGAATATAATTACATTCAATCAACAGGTAACTGGGCTTACTCAGAATTGTAAGAAGTAGAATTTAAGTACAAAACAACTGATGTATTATGGTTTTCAACTTCTAGTAAGTTTCAACAACTGTACACTACAATTATTGTAAATGGATTTTAGGCTTTTGATTCCTATGATGTTTATTTTATCTACCACAACTCAATTTAGTTTTATCGACATGGAATTAGTCATCCATGGTGGATCTTCTGTTCAAAGTATCTGCTTGATCATGCGGTTTTACTTGTTGGCTATGGAGTTTCCGAAGAAAATGAGCCATTCTGGATTGTAAAAAACAGTTGGGGTGTTGAATGGGGTGAAAAAGTAAGTTTTTTCCCTTGCATAACTGATATAAAGCGTCTTACTGAAATTATTTACTACTTAAATTACATTAAATCAACTAGTTTTGTACTGTCGGTTGATATGTAAAGTCCATATATATTATTCTAGCTACTGGACAGGCCAATTTATCCGTTCTTGTTGAGTCACGTTTTGACCTTGTTAATTATTAGCTTATCAACCTTGACTTTTTATATTAGCGTGTGTGTGTACACTTTTTATCTTATCACATGTCTGTAGTTTATTTTTGTGTGATTATAAATATTGATGTCTTCTTCAGCTGGAGAAGAGGCTACATCGAATCACGGTACACCTACCGGGGCTCAATAGTTGTCTTTGCAGGTTTCTTGTCTTTGATTTTACTTCATGTTCGGTGATTGCTGACTACCTATGTACTACATAGAAGTGATTGATTATGCCTTTCTTAGTTGGTAGGCTTTTATTGCAACCAGGATGCAGGCATTTATTTACATTATTTATGGACTTATTTTTATTTATTGGGGTTTTAGTTTCAGTTTTAGGTAAATTGTGTTGTGGGTGACAAGATATGGGGTGAGCGGTAAACCGGATGGCAGAGAACTTCCTAATCATCCACTCCGCCTATACCCACAACTGATTACGAAAACTACAAAGAATCATAGCACAATTGCTACTTGTTCAAAAAAAGACAAGAAAATGCATAAAACCACCAAAAACTCAAACTTAGTTTATGGAATGTCCAAGGTTGCCTACAAGAGTGCAAACTCCAACAGATTGTAGAACAAATCATCGAACGCAAGTACCACATAGCAGTGATTACGAAAACTAGGATGGTCTCCAAAACCATCAAATAAGACAAAAACACTACCTTCTTTAACTCCAATCTTGACATCGGACGAAAAACCGGTGCTTTCAACGTGGTACGGTCACTAATCCTGACATCAACGGTTACCGTAACACTGGTGTTGGCTTCGTCATTAATAACCAATCCTTACTGAACCAGCACACAAGACTTCTACCTGGGTACACCCTAAAACTCAGACTGAATATATGATAGATTTGTTATTAACAGAAAATAATTCTAAGTTAATGGTCTCTGACATAAACAACAGTCGTTCTATGGAGGCTAACTCCGATTATTACATGATCACAACCATACTTAAGCTAAATTACTTAAATAGTAATCAGACTCCTAACACTAATAAGAAATCCAAACGAAGACAACGTAAGGCGATACACGCCTTGACCACAGACTACCCAAATATGCTAAATAATTTACTTCAAAATGGATATACTCTAAGTCAGGTAGAAAGAGTAATCATACAAACTGCTAACAAAGCTACAATCCTATATAAGTCGGACACCAAGAGATGGCAATGCAATATAGGCGATCTCTTGAATCAAGAGATTAAACATAGAAAACAATTAAGACTATCCTGGCTAAATAACCCCACAACCATTAATAAAAACCTATATATACTTTAGTGGTCCGTAATATGACTCCAGTGAGATCGTTTCCGATTGCTATTGAGATATATATATCGTCAATCCTCGTATATAATTATCGACTTAGATCACGTTAGTTCATTGGACGGAATTAAATAAGTCAAATACGAGAATGGATTTTGAATATGTATATTTCACTCACTCATTCATTTGAACAGGCAGTCAGGGAATGAAGAAAAGAGAGCGAAGCGAAATGACGTGCAGTGGAGAAGGCATGTGAGCCAACTCAATTCAGTCAAGCGTTAATCAATATTTATAGTCACACGAAAATAAGCTACAGACATGCGATAAAAAGTGCACACCACTCATACGCTCATATAACAACAGTCAAGGTCGATAAGCGAATAATTATCGAGGTCAAAACGTAACTCAACAAGAACAGATAAATTGGCCTGTCCAGTAGCTAGAATAAGGTGTATGGACTTGATATATCCCCGACACTACAATCTTTACTTTTCGACGAACTTTCTCAGCTAAATAGGTTCATTATTTCAGATAAATATTAACCACCTTTACTGTTTGTCGAGCCATTCTCTCGTCTTATTAACAGACAAATCTGTGTAGCATATCTTACCTTAATGTCGGTTATCGCACTGAGGAAACCATCATATTTCCTATTAAAAATGTCAAAGAAACTGGACTTTTTATATCGAGTATTTGAAAAGAAGTCTCCCTCTGTTTCTTCCATCCAAGATGAATTTATACTGATCAATTATACATCAGCCTGTACTGATGATCCTATCATATTTCAGTAGTTATTGCACCTGGTTGTACTTAGTTGTGTGTAAAAATATTCAAATCAGCACATAAAATGAAACCTTTTGATATTTCTTAAGTTATGTTAATTCGTCGATACGATTAAAGTTGTAATATAAACCGTTATTTTGAATCACTCATTACAGTTTGTAAACTTCGACTTGACGTGGAATTCTGTTGAAGTACATATGTAAAATGCGCATATAAAACATATTATGCCAATGAATAGCACTGAAAAATGTTATTTTCATCCTGTTACTAAAGGATAGTCTCACTACAATACTTAATGAGAGTGATCATTGTTTTTCAATGTGTTTTTTTTTAAATTGCCAAGAACGTTTCTGTAGATTCGTATGCCCTAATGATTGAATCATCTAACTTTCAATCATCAAGTTGAAAATTAAAATTCTAAACTACCTACCTCAATTTGATGGTGCTTTTACACAATATCTCTGATTAAGAGCCAACAGAATAAAACTTTACATGGTCAATAATTTACAATAACATAGTAGATTCATGTTTAAACTATACGTTGTTGATAATTAGCTCACACTACTTGAATTATTTTTGTAATGCATCTGATAATCTTCTAAATTTGTGTAAAAATTCTTTTTTAGATCAAAATATACATAAATCTCATGTACACTATTTTGTGTATGTATATTTTCGTTTACTTTAACTTTCAGGGTTACTTCCGTATGTATCGAGGTGATGGTACTTGTGGCATTAATACTGTTGCTACGTCAGCGTTGATCTACTAGGGAGTGTGGGTATATGTGTTCCTTTTTTCATCTCAAAACAATTTATCTCATTCCTAACAGAATCTCAATTTAATTCCGTATTATTTTGTTGAAAATACTTTTTTCAGATCCTGATTTATTTTAAACCTCCACTTCTCTCATCATCCGACATTTTTAAATTAATGAATAAACTCCACTACGAATCTCTGTAAAACACCCACTATTAGTTTCTTTTTATTTTTGATGGTGGATAGGAAGGGGAGGATAATCTATTTTGGACAACTGCCCTTCTAATTTCAGTAATCTCATAAACATTTTGTATTAATTATTTTTTTAGAACCATTATGCTCAGTGCTTTAGGTCACAATTTTCTTAAACATAAAATTCAAACAAACACATTAACGGTGTTTTCTTTATGTAGAGATAAAATGAAATGCATCGCAAATGTTATCTGTTTTACATTGATGGTATCTAAGTAAGAAATAGGTTCTTTATTTGTTTATTCCGTTTAAAAAAGCGATTGTTTGTGTTTATTTTTGGTTGTTTATTTTGTGAAATTCTACCGAGTAATCCATATATAGGTAGCAATTGTAATCTAAGCACCGTTGATAATTCATAGCTAAAAATGTCTAAATCCCCAGACTCAATTTCAAGTGATGTAATACAAAAATTTCAGAATTGTTTTTTCTGATCATTCTGGTGTAACTTGCTATCTTTCATACCCAGAAAGTTTTGAAGATACATAATTTAGATTATTCTGTTACTGTTCAGCAAAGTGACATTTTAATCGGTCAGGTTTTACCCTTAATAAAATTAAAGTGGGTTAAAAATCGATATTGATTAGTTGAAATTGAACTATGCTTATCATCCCCTAATTTTTCTTACCTGTAACAAAATGTTCATGGTAATAATGTATAAGGATTCTGGGTCACACATTAGTCAGTAGTATATGCAGTCTCCTCAGTAAGTGGGCAAATGGATGCCATAAAAGTTTCTTTGACATAATTTTGGGTGTGTTGATCCTATCTGTTTCGAAATACTTCCAATTTGTGGAAGTTCAATTGTCCCATCTTCGCTTCTGCCGTTCATAGTATATTCCAATGTTCCCAGAAACTAGGCTCACCAACATTAATTATCTAAACCCATGTGTTTTACTGTAGTAGTTTTCATAGACTATATTGTGTTCATTTAATCGACAATCATCTAGACGATAATTCAGTGACGAAAACGCGAAAAATATCACATGCGTTCAATGTTTACATCAATAAGGGAAATCATTGGTGGTACTGGCCTTGCATCATTGTTTCCAGTCTTCATGGCTCTCACTGGGATAATAATCTATCAGGAAAGAGCCTTTTACCTCGATATTTTATTTCCACAAAAAGTGCTCAACATTTAATGAATTCCCCTTTAGTTCTCAAGTTTCATTAGCAATTCACGTGGTTTAGTTCCCTTATTTAATGCATAGTGAGTGCGGCAACATAAATACTGATACTTTCTAAGATTTATAATGGATTAGAGTTGTTAAAGTTTATCTGGATTCGATTTTTGACCGTTTTTATTCTATTTTAAGAAGATCTAGTGAATACTGTTTGGATAAATAAATTATCCATTTGTGAATTAGTTATTCTAATTTCAAATTTATTGACTCAACCAACCTATGATCAGTCAGTCACTTCCACAGAACCCACTACTAATAAGTGTACTGGTCCAAGTTGTCACACCTCCGATCAGTGAACTAAGAGGTAGTAATAGTTTATGAGTTGAGAACCAAAGGATGATAATTAATTATAACTGTATCAGTAATCTAACCATGAGCCATAAATTATACGAATATTCGTCAAGATTAGAACGAATAGTTTGACAGAAATTGGGAGCCGAGTATAGAGAAGTCATTATATTTGAAATATTCTCAGCGATTGAAATTTGACTGATTTCAACGTTTCGTCCAGCTAACTTGTCTGGACTTCTTCAGGGTAATAATTAAAATCAAAATTATCAAAGAAATATATAGCTTTTTAACAATCCGGATTATACTGTGTTAAACCAACCATATTTGGATGTTGATTTTTTGTAAAATAGGATCAAATGAGTCAGTTAACTACAAATCATGTGAAGGATTCAACTACATGGAAATACTTAACTGAGTAACAAATCGTATGTGTGTGAGTGTGTAGGTATGTATGTGTGAGAGATTAATATGAAGGAATAAATAAATTTCAAGAATGAAAAATTGATAATGAAACATCGATGTACATGTGAAAACATTAATTGTATATTTCAAATATAATTTTCACATATAATGACTTCTCTATACTCGGCTCCCAATTTCTGTCAAACTATTCGTTCTAATCTTGACGAATATTCGTATACATTAATTGTATTGTTTAAAAAACTCATTGAATTCTTTTAAAAATAATAACGATGCATGTGATATAAAAAACAGGTTTAAACAAGAGATAGGTTTCAAATTTACTTGTCAAACGAAATTTGCCAGGTAGTTGCCAGTTGAATACCATCTTTTCGGTTCAGGCTGTTCTTGTTCGCCCATATATGCAGCGCTTCTGCCGTCAATCTTTCTTTATGGGTGTTAAAACCTTTCTGAAGTATTTTGGTCCCTTCAAAATTAATCTTGTGTCCTGTTTCTAACGCATGTAACGCTATCGCTGACCTGTTTTCAAGTTTCTTTAAATCAACCGAGGATTTTGGAACATTTTTCAAGCATTGTTTGTGTTCCTTCAATCTTACATTCAATTGCCTGGATGTTTCTCCAACATAGGTAGCATTACAGTCATGACAGTGAATCTCATACACAATGTTCTGTTGTTATTCCTTTGCTAACTTGTCCTTAACTTTCAGTAATGTCGATCTTAATGTGTTATTCGCTCTAAAATACACTCTTATATCATGTTTGTTTAGAATCCGTTTGATTTCTTCTGATGTTTCACTACGGTAAAGTATGACTACGGTGTACTTCCATTCTTTTCGTATACTTTCTAGTTCCATTTTTCTTTCACTTTTAATAATCTTCTTTAAAAACCTTTTTGGGTAGTTGTTATCCATAAGAGTAGAAAATACTTTATTTAATTCGGTTCGTTGGTCTTACTTGTCTGTAACAATCTTAGTACTTTTATTCATTAGATCTTTTACCACGTTAATTTTCGTGCTCTGTGAATGGGCTGAATTAAAATCCAAGTATCTCTCGGAATGTGTTGATTTTCTGTAAACATTTATTTTTAACTTCTTATTATTGAGTCGACGTTCAACCAAACAATCTAGAAATGCTAGTTTGTGGTCAACTGATTCTAATTCCTTAGTTAGTTTAATGTTTTCAGAAATGCTGTTCACAAGGGAAAAAAGTAGGAGAATGGAGAGTTAATAATAAAACTGAATATTTAGTAAAAGAGTGAGAGATGCAGCTACATCACTGCGATTGATCCTCAGCCACGTTACTCGACTGATTTAGGGTCTATGAGAAAAAGCGTAAGTACATGTTTGAATAAAACTGGTAAGTTATTGATCATTTATAACGGCTATCAGTGAAAGAAAACCTGCTAACATTGAAGAGTGGTGAACTGTTATGGACATGATAAGATCATCTAGAGAAAAAGATGTAAATTTTGTTTTTGTAAAAGTACTAATTCCGTGAGGAAATGTGAACACAGTTAATATAAAGGTTATAATACTAGATTACGTAATATCAATAATAACAATAACAATGGATTTGGTGAATATAATAAGATGATTAAAATGTTTTTGATATAATAATTCGTTGAAAAGAGATCCCTTCGCTGAAATTTGTGTTTTAATTTTAATGTTTAAATGGGAATTATCTGTCAAAAAGATATAAGTCATACAAATGAATTGCTTTTCCAAGTACATGGGCCAAGTTAATCCCATATTACTTGTTCAGACCGGAAGTCTTTATGAAGAACTTTGGATGTAGCAGTTTCTACTTAGACAACACCTTGAGAATCTCTTAGAAATATTTGAATATTAAAGCTTTTCGGTAGATGTTTGCGATTTAGTCTCAAATTAACTGGCTATGGAACCAATCTCTTCTGTCTTATTTACATTATCGTGTCCACTGTGTTATCAATAAATCTATTAACTAACGATAATCTAAGCTGGGACACTACTCAAACCTAAACAGGTGGTTGTTTTAGGGCAGCATTTCGCAAATTCCTGAAGTCTAATGTACGAAGCAGTGGAGTAACGTCAGGAAACGCGACTCTGTGGTAACTGATGACTACAATAGATTCATATGCCATTTATTCCTGGACTCGATAGCTGAGTGGACACTATGTTAGGTGTTTGGAGTGAAAGATGGTGGGTGTAAGTCCCCATATGAACACGAACATTGAGACAAAACGACATCCAGATGACAAGTCTTAAATTGAACAGGACGCACGTCCTGTATTGCACTGATCATCCCCATCAGACTGCCAAAATTTTCCAATTACATGTTTAGTTTAGTTAAATCATTGATCACTGATTATTCATGATAATACTAAGTCTCTTTATTAATTTTCTTGCATATCTAATTCTTCATTAATTTTTTTTTCCTGAACATAACCATCATTCTGATTCACAGACTCGTAAATTTCTTTTTATCACACACTCTTCATGTGATCCATTTTAGCATAGGTTTACATTTTTCTGTTGTTGTTGTAAATATCTAATAAATTTAGTGCATAGTTTCATGTGATATCCTTACATATTAACTATAATGACTATTAATAAAGTATATACAATCACTAAGTGAAAAATACACCATTTGATCATTTCAACCCTCCTATTGATAATCGGAATATTTTCGGATAATCAATAATTTTTTTTTCGGAAAAAACGGGTGAGTTGGAAAACATAATGTAACGAATAACGAAATTAGATAATTTTACTGAAAAGACGTTTACTTTGCTAATTGATTTAATGGTGAAGAATTCATATTGTCTTTTAAAGAAAAAATCATTAATACAAGCTTCAAATAGAAGCGAACTATAATAATAATTTTCCAGGTT